GAAGTTATCAACAACAGTTTCTGCCATGGTCCCTTTTGCAATATGGGCATATGCAAGGAATTGGCTGAACTCTCAAGTCTGGATCTCAAGATCACTTTTCCTCCACAGACCCTTTCTCTCGGCTTTTGTACACCAAAACTAATTTAATTCATCTTTATTAGCAATTCCAGCTTCATGGTAAAGAGGGATGAAAGCAGTAGATGAATATATACATTACTGATCTTCATGCACTCCCAGCAGCTCAAAACTCAGCAGCTAACAGCAGCTGCTTGGAAACCCTTTACAAGTCTCTTTTTCTTCCACAGATGGTGAAATCCTTTCTCTCCGTGCATTAAATACTCAACAAAACACTCTCACCAAATTATCATATCAACCCATAACCATGCATGATAATTATGTCTTAAATCAGGATTTCTTCTACCGAATTTCAACCAAAATAAACACGGTATAGAGAACAAATGTATGCTTATAGTGAACAACCATTCATCAGCTTAAGTAACTCTAATGGATGTCACTTTAAACTAAGCCTGTGCCATCTGTTCTACCCCTCAATTAGCAAGCAAAAAAAAATTATTCGATACACAGTTTAAGAAAGCCAGCTAATTTATGTAAGTTTTATTTCTCTTCAGCTCAGTGAAACATGCCCTTGTAATGCCTGATATTCAGAAACAGATCAGACTGGAAGGTTGCTTTCTCTAACACCATTAGGAATTTTGTCAGGGGTAATAAAATATCTGTGCAATATTTCACCATATCAAAAAAATGCTCGTTAACATCTTACATTTTACTTTAAAAAGAATGATGTCTCTCTCAGTACCAAAATCAGCTGGGAACTAAACAAATCAAATCCGAATTGGTGCATACATGAACACAGACAAAGCTCAGGACACAGTCCTGCCCAGACAGAGTGAGTCTACCAGCACAGCAGGAGGCTGTGGATGTGTCCTCAGACCCGGGGTCTGTTAACCATGTCAGCTCCTAACTCACCTCTCAGAGGCAAAACCCAGTCCTACAGGCTGCTGGGCACAGAGCCTCACACAGACCTGGCTGCACCGGGACAAAGGGACCATTCCATGCAAGGTGAGATATTCTTCCTTGGAAAGGAAACCCTGTCCAGTGAGAGCAGTGCACTGCCAAAAAATCACTACTTGTGAAAGTGCATGAAAAAAATACAAAGCTGCATCCAATTCCTTACTGCAAACCTCCATCCAGTTTCACTTCAAGCTGGCCTCTCCTACCACTCTGCAACAAGTGAAAACACTGAACAGAATCTCTCTTCAGTATGTTGGACCCTGACCTGCTTGGAGGCTCTGTCACCACCAATCTCCCTCTTGGATGTTTGTATAAAAAAACCCTGCAATAACAAGAGCTATTTCCACTGGAAACCTCAACTCCACCAGCAAAGGCAACACATCCCAGGGAAAAAGGTGCAAGAGACCTCATCTCATTGTTGAGGAGAAGCAGGCAAGAGAAGGTCACTGCCAAACACTCTCAGCTCACCTCTTGGAATTGCAGGCTGGTTGAAACTACTTTAAGACATATTACTTTACATTACACCTTAATTTACATCAGGGTTTGGGTACTGAGAAAGGCTCACCAGCTGCAGATGAGCCAGGAGATCCTGCACACCTAACATCCGCATTACTAAATGCTGCAGAAGCAGCTCAAAGCGAGATGGCTCACCAGGGGATTACTGACAATTCCAGCCCTCTCCCCTTGCCATAGCACTGTGGAACCTGAGAGGACACACTGAAGCCTCTGACACTGCTGTGCTGTTTTGCCTCATGTTTTCAGACAGACAGCTCTGTGCAGACCTTAGTTATTGTTCAGAGATTCAAAGCTCAGCAAAATAACTATCTTTTATGCTTAGCAGGGGAAGAGAAGGAGTCAAGCAGAACCACCATTCTGAAACAGCATTGATGAAGCAAACAAAGCACAAATGAAGAAACAGACCAGAGGCAGAATTCCTCTTTGGCCTAAAGCATCCTGCAATACCTTCCCAGCCCAATCTCACTGGTGTAATCCACAACTCCTAGTGCTCACACAAACACAGGCTGTCTGCTCTAAGCAACTGTGCTCCAAAGAGGAGTAAGAGCTCTCAAAGAGAATTCATCTTATCACTCTGCACCATTCCTATGTCTTCTGCACACCTCTAAGTACTGCTGAGAAAACTCAAGCCTGCCATGGCTGTTGGGTGCAGTTCACGCACGCTCCTAGGAAGCACAAACATGCAAATGGCTTTGCACTGGACTTCAGTGCCTTACAATCACCTTTATGTTTTCTTGACTTGAAAAGCATCCTGAACTATGCAACTGCCTTCTGCACCTAAGGCATCTGTCTGTTACAAAGCAGGGACCAGTGATCAGGTCACAAGATGATTTGTTAAGGGGTTTTAGAGTAGTGAGTGCTATCAGAAGTATGTTAGGCCTCACTATGTTTTATACAGGCTGTTTTTAACAGACTTGAGACAGCACCAACCAAAGAAAAGCATCTCTGCCCTCCATCATTCTATTTTTTTCCCCTGAATCTCTTGAAAAAGAAGACTCCATTGTCTGCAGTCTTTGTGCTGCGGTCAAGGACTTGACAAAGTAGTGTCATGAAAAAATAGAAACAATGTACAGAAAACCAGCAAAGCCTAAAAAGGTCAATGATGGCCATGACATACACAGATCAGACATGGATGCCAATGATGGAGAAAGCTTGTGCCCATCCTGTAAAGGTGCAATTTCATCATCAGTTCAAGCTCCTTTTAACCCAAACTAAACTGGTTTGCCTTACAGATGCCTCTTCTCTGGTTCACTGATAAGCACAAGTGTTCAGTTAGAGGAGTCCTAGACAGGCAGGAGCCATGAATCCACTGGATGCTGTCCCAGTATAATGCCTCTTGTTATCCACACTCAAGTCTTACTCTGAGAACACACACTTCATTGGTGAAGTGCTAGGAAATTTCGAATCACGCAGATGATCTCAATCTTTGTTTTAAGCTGATACTTTTTCAAATTAAGAGACTGAGGTGAGAAGAGAAACAGACTACAAATATTCAGCTTCCTCCATTGCAGTTTAGCTCTCCAGATGGCTATCCTAGGGCAGGGATGCTTGGCCTTTCACTCCTAAAGTTGACACACTAATCCATGAATTGGGTCAGATGACACCAGCTCCCCTGTGCTCTCTCACACCAGACAAAGCTGAGCTTCCAAACCCCCACCCCACAAGCAGTCAGGCAAAAAGGCAACGATAATGCAGATGCAGGCATTAAAACAGAAGGAAGAGATTGGCATAAGAGGGTGCACTAAGCCTCGCCTGGATCCTGAAGCAGACTTTACCACATCACTGACCTTCACATAGCCAGCTTGCCCCACTCAAAGGCCTCAAATCTCCTATTATACTCATTCACTGAGAAAACACCCTCCAGACATCTGAGACATGTCTCTGTTATGCTTACTAGAACTTATTAATCACAGCAAATGCTATCTATAGAACACACACATTAATGAACAGCCAGCTCAGCAGCATGAGTTCTGGAACAGAGTCACTGCAGTACAGAAGTGCCACCAGTTTGCTACTGGAAAATGAATACCACAGATCATTTTAAACATGTAGCTCAACAGACAAAAGGTTGGGAAGACGAGCAAGTTATCTGAATAGAAATTCTGCAAACTAAGTGTGATACTGGGATTGCAAAGCACTGCACAGCACATCCACATCACTTCATAAAATCCATGCAAATAGCACATTTTGGAATAATTTCAATTTTACTGTGCTTAGGTTACTCTTCCACTGAGAATCATGGACATTTGTAAGAGAAAGCCAGTTAGCAAGAAAAGGGGCAATAAGAATATGTAATACTCTCAGAAAATTATATGTACACTGCTTGTTCACAACAGCAAGCCAAGTATCTCTTCATGTGTTCCACCACAATGGATTCTCTGTTGAGACCACATTAGCTTTGGTGGTTTGGTGATAGTGTTTCTAGTGTTTGGGGGTTTTTCTCCCTACACGCCAAACAGCTTCTACAACAGCTGCTTGTTGACAAAAATGAAAAGAAAGAAATGCAGTTGTGCAGAACACTCAGCAACGTCACAATCACCTCCCAGTCAAAATTTTTGTTAAAAATAATTTTAATTGAGTATGCTGAGCTCCAGAGCACCTACAACCTATACAGCCAGTCCTTTCTCCACTTCTACAGGTGTGAACTCCAGCACAACCCCCATCTTTAGGCCCAGCTCTGTAGGAGTTTACACTCTGAGATTCCACACCACTTATCAAAAGGAATATTATTACATCCCATACAATAGCTTCAGTACTTTAGATTTTCCAGAGAGCCTCATGAACAGACCAGGACAAGAGTTTTCCAAGTCGCAGCTGAGAATCCCTCCCCACTCCCACAGTACCTGGCTGTGGTAGGACTTCTTCATTAAACCTGAAGGGAAATGAAGTAACACAGCAGGGATAACAAGGCAGTGGAGCTCCATGTCCTACCAACTCATCTCAACATTATCAAATTCAAAAGAAGACACATACAAACACTATCTTTCTTGAGCTAAGTACAATTCATCTACTATGCTGCCCACAGAAAACAGCAAAAGTCTAGCATGATTTAATGACAGTGAAAACAAATGCAGTTTATATATGCTTTTTTCAGTTTCATAAACCTCTTAGCATGGCAGGAAATCATGAACACTGCTAAACTATTGGGATGATCAAAGCATGCCACCAGCTAACAAAGTACACAAAGAAACCAGGATATCACAAACTATGAACACCAAATGTAAATCCACTTCTGCTTAAAACACCATTCACTGAATTCTTATTGCCTTCAGTCCTTGATATCACAGCAGCTATCAGCTACCAAGATATGGAACAAAATCTCTGATTCAGTCTAATTACCAGCTTACAGAACAGTATCATAGAATGTCTACCATGCAGCTTTCATTTAGATCAAATAGTATTTGACATCGACACTTCTGACAGTAATCACATTCCACATGACAAATCCTTACCTTGTAATTGCTGGAATTTACCCAAGAAGTGGCCAGTCCATCAACCATTTTATCCAGCATAGTCTGATCATGTTCAAGATCAGCTGACTTCTGTTTATCTGAGAAATAATCTATCAATTCCTGGCCAACCTGAAGTCTTTTTCCAACATCCTTCTGCAGCACCTGCGCTAAGCAGTACTCCATAGTGGGCTCCATAGTGTCTCAGGAATACAGCAGCAGCCAGAAAGCCAGAGGGCAGCAGGGCCAAAAACTCCCTCTACAAATGTACGCAGGAGGTCGCCTCTTTCTTCTGTGAAGGTTACTGAGGGCCTGGGTTTCAAAGATGCAATTCTGAGAATGGCAACAATGCACCATGTGTGTGTGGACAGCAGCTGGCAGGATATTAAAAGTCCAATTTAAATAACTGGTAATAGATGAAGCAATGAGCAGCGCTGTACAGTTGAGTCTGCAGTAAATCCCAATTCAGCAGTCCATTCTGAAAGAAATGAAAAAGAACAGTATTATAGGTTAAATTAAGACTGGAAGAAAAAAAAGAGATTGAAAGCATGTCACAAAATAGGTTATTCACATACAGCTGCGAAGCTGTGTAAGTCAGATACAAGCAGCACTGGTCTATTTTAAGGAATCAAACAAGGTAGGTCAGGACAAAAACCTTACAATACAGTTACCCATCAGTTCCCTATTTCAGTGACAGACAGTAAATTTGTGGCTTAAAGTAACAGCTGATTAATAATCAGTATTATTGCAACTGCCACCATCCACCCGAAAAGGTGGAGACAAAATCCTTAAGCAGGTCACCAGGAAAACCTGTCTACTTTAAGTGAAAGCAGGAAGAGATCTGGATCCTGTTTTGACTGTTGGCCTTCAGCAATCAATGTCATCAGCTGGTCAGCAAGATAAAGCATGAACACAGGGCTCCAGGAATGTAAAATGATCAGTTTTCAAAACCTAGGTGCTCAAGCTGTTTCCAGGCTGAGTTCTGTTACATCCCAACTACACATGTCCAGGAAACAGCACTCACTGGCACACTCTAAGTGCAGTTCTGACAACCAAGGGCACACACAAGGAAGGTCAGGCCGAACTTTGCTGCCACTCTGAGGCACAACATCACCTCAGAAGCATCTGGCTTATGAAAAAAACAAAACAAAAAAAAACCAAACAAACAAACAAAAAAAAAAACGGCTTATAAAAAAAACCAAAAAACAAAAAACAAAACAAAACAAAAAAAAACCAAACAAACAAACAAAAAAACAAACAAACAAAAACAAACAAACAAAAACAAACAAACAAAAACAAACAAACAAAAACAAACAAACAAAAACAAACAAACAAAAACAAACAAACAAAAACAAACAAAAAACAAATAAAAAACAAACAAAAAACCAAAAAATTAAACAAAAACAAACAAAAAACAAATAAAAACCAAACAAAAAACCAAACAAAAAACAAAAACACAAACAAAAACACAAAAACACAAACAAAAAACAAACAAAAAACAAACAAAAAACAAACAAAAAACAAACAAAAAACAAACAAAAAACAAAAAACAAACAAAAAAACAAACAAACAAAAAACAAACAAAAAGAAAACAAACAGAAAACCAAACAAAAAAACAAAAAACAAACAAAAAAGCAAAAAAACAAAGAAAAAAACCAAACAAAAAACCAAAAAAAACCAAACAAAAAACCAAACAAAAAATCCAAACAAAGAAACCCAAACAAAACAAAAAAAATAACAACCAGACAAAACAAACAAAAAACCCCTGTATGTTTGGGCTTTGTTTATGTACTTGAACCCTAGGAACTCCCTTGTCCCCTTCATTAGGGATTCTTTTTGTCCCTCCAACTGCAGCCAAATTAATCCCCCCAGGCAGCCAGGGAACAGACCCAGGGCTCTCCTCCACCTTCCCACAGAGCAGGGCTCCTGGCATCACCACAGCCTCCTGAAGCACTCCCTCATCACAGGTTAGCTCTTTTAGGAAGTGGGTGATAAAAACCCAGGGTGTCTTTTTGTTTCCTGGCTAATAATACCCAAAGCTAGAAATCTGCCCTACTTTTTCCACCAACGTGAGGAAAGCAGGTCAAGCTCAGAGTAAGGGAAGAGGTTGTGCAGCGGACACCTGGTTCAATAAACAACTGGAAGGAAGCTGGAAGGAGGCACAAGTGCGCTAATTGGAAGCACTGGGGCAGCAAATAAATACCTTCTGTTTGAGCAAATAAGGCCTTCACAAAGGTCTTAATAAGACAAAGTGGACCTGACAGCAGATGAGATGCAGACAAGAACCCCAGCCTGGAAACGAAAGCACCCTTTGCACAGCAGACTGTTCAGTTCATTACCTCAGCCCCATCTTCCCTGGCCACATCTTCCCACCACCAAGCACAGCATCTGGATCCAGCCCTGAGGGCCTAAGCTTCCCCAACCCTACAAGCATTGCCACAAGTGTCCCAGCTTCCCACACTGGTTGTGCAGGAGTCACCAGGGTGCAGGTCCCTCCATTGCAGGCAGACAGTTCAAATTCCTGCTGGCTGATGGGCATCAAAACTGGTTCAATATACCAATGGACTCACCTCAACCAAACACCACCCTCAGCCAGAAGGGACTGCTCATGTTTGTACACTAAACTCCCTCCTTGTCAGCAAAACCTCATCCCCAAGAGCAGCAAGGAAGCCTTGGCTGCTGCTGCACACAGCACCTCAAGCTTTGAGTTAGTGCTGTGCCAGATTACTGCTTGTGACCCCTACCCCAACCTAAACCACCTCAAGGACACACAAAACTCCCACCATTTTGTTTCAAGTCACCTCAGGAGGGATTTGATTTTAAATTCTAAGACTGTCAACACCCCCTCCAATCAGCACTCTTAACATCTTTTTTCTTTCTAAAATAAAGTTCCAAACTAGAAGGGAGTACTGTGTTCTTTACTGCAGTTTCTACTGATGCTACAGTTTTTCACTTGGTCACTTTAGCACCAAATCTGAAAGAAGCACTCTGAACTCCCATCCTCAACCAAAAATGGTTCATGTCATGGCACTCTCTCCATGGCAGCACAGGCACAAAACCAGAGCCACTTCCACAATTGCACAAGCACAGCAGATGCTTTCATTCAGGTCTCCCTGTCTGCAGCTTTGAATACTGGCCCCTGCCCTGCCCTCCAGCACAGGCTGGTCTTGCTCTGTGCTGCAGACACTCCACTTAAGGGAGAAAGTCTTACACACAGCAGCGTCCAACTATGCAGTGGATGGATTTTCACACAGTAGGGAAGCATTTCACTGGACACCTCTCTAGCATGGAGCTACTGGAGAAGGGACAGGGTATTAAACTGCTACCACGTTCTAGCTGAAACCCTTCAAGTTAGCTGGGCAGCTTGTTTCTGGACTCCAGAAGCTGCACACACGTTCAAAAGGGAATTCTTCTGTTAAACTGGATAGATAGTGAAGAAAGTCTAACTGCTTTTAAAATGGAAATTTAGAACTTGCTTAAACTTGAAAATTCAGATTACAGAAGGGTGTGAATGAGTGTTAGTTACCACAGAATAGCCATTTTTTATTAACATCACACAGAGGCATGTCCCAACACATCCAGAAACAATTGGCTGGCCATACTGCCGTGAGAAATGAGCATTCAAAGTTTCAGGTCTGCCTTCTATGTGGTTTTCATTAAAGGGCTTAGAAGTCTCTGCCTACAAGCACAGAAACAATCTTTAAACAAACCAACGTAAATAAATTTCTCTCCACTTTCCTTGCTTACTAAACACATGAAGGAAGGCATAGGATAAAAATCATGGTGCACTACAGAAGAACAAATTTGTGTCACAACCTTGAGGACTGTAGTCTAAAGATCCACTATACATTATGGCACTGCTATCAAATGCATATGGAGAAAAAGAGCCAGAAACATCTTAGAATCCTGGGGAAACAGTAATAGGAAGCCAAGAGGAAAGGTCAGTGTGGCTTGCATCTACCAGCTAACAGGTGTTTAAGTAGCTCTTTTCTAAAAAAAACCCAAAAGCTATCCTACACATGTTAGGAAGTCTGTTGACTCCCCTCTTCCCAAAAGGAGGAAGTGGAAAAAAACACCACCTGAGAAAAACAAGACCCACACTAACAAAAAAACTAACCTGCCAGACAATGAAGCACATGGCTGCTGCATCCCATCAAGTCTCCAGTCTGGGCAGATGCTCCCCACATAAGCTTTGAGATACACCAAGCCACAGTTCTCAGCCCCAGTGGTCCACTCCTGGACTTTTTGGGTAGCCAGTGTTACAAGACATAAACAACTTTGGGGATGTTGAGGACAACCTCTTCCCACAGAAGAACAGTCATGCAGAACTCAAAATTATTAACTCAGTGGCACAGGTCCTGTGTTTGGAGCTCCTCCAAGTTTTGAGAAGGGTTGCCAGCATAAGCTCCAGAGCAAGGGTTTTGTCCAATCCTCCCAAGCCTTGTAGTCTGATCTCAAAGAGACAGGCTAGGCTCAACACATAGACAAAATAATCCAGGAGAAAAAGCTACCCCAATTCTGTCATTGAAAAAAAGTTCTTTGTTTCACTAATCAGCCATCAAAACTATGTGCTTCACAACACCCAAATTTTCCATCAATAGCTATCCAGGAGAAAGCCACTATACACAGGTTTATTTTCAATGCCACTTTGGAGCTCAAAACAAGGAATTTAAAGGGGAAAGCTGACAAAGATCAAACAGCCAAAGTTACTCAGCTTAGATACTACCATCATAACAGCATAAAAGCTGATACAATTCACAGTAAAGCAACTGGATCAACACATAAAATAAATTAATCCAAACAGTAATAAGGAAATACTTGTTACCTAAGATGCTGTGGCAATATTAAACTGGATACCTAAGACAATTTTTTCAGCACTTAGGAGAACACCCCTAACCTCAGACTAAGTGAAAGTGCATAATTTGCAATTCTCAAATAAGACTTTTATCTTAGGATAACTTCACAGGAAATTTTGAATCTTCTTCCTCTTGCAAGGAAGGGAACCTGAAGAATACAAAAAACGCACTATTACTGTCTTGGTGTCCTGCCTATCCTTGGGAAGTCTTCCAATATAACTATTTGACTTTAAAAACTATGTTCCACTCTCTTCTGCTCTAGACATCAGGTTATCATCTTTGTCATGTTTCACTGTCATCTTCATTTGCCAAAAAGTCAATGCAGTCCATAACTGCCCCAGACAACTGTTCCAACACAACAGCTCCAGACACAAGCGTGCAGAGACAAGCCTCCTGCTGCCACTCACAATCACCAGAGGCAAGAGCCAGCACCACTCAATAACCAGTCATCTTCCTGAAGGTATCTCTCAACTTCCAGCCAGTGAGCTTAATTTGTAACCAACTTGTAAACATGACCACACTCCTCTGGTGCCTTTTTTTGTGCATGTGGTTAGCTGTAGCCCAACATCTGTAGAAATAACACAGCAACACAATAGTACCAACAAGCCTCCTTCTTCACAAG